GCGCCGTCGCCGCGACGCGCGACGCCGCCGCCGCGACCGTCGTCCGCCTCGTCGACGACACGGGCGAGCTCGACGCCCTCGCGCCGCGCCGCGCGCTGCCGGCGGCCGCCGCGCGCGCGCTCGCGGCCGCCGAGCCCGGCGACGCCGTCGCCGCGACGCTCCGCGCCGCGGACGCGCGCGGGACGAGGGTCTTCCTCCTCGCGGACCTCAGGCTCGCCGCCGCGTGAGCGAAGCGCTCGAGTCGGCGTAAGTGTCGTGCCGGCGCAGCCACGAACGTCCGCCGGCGGCCGCGCGTCCTCGAAGACGCGGACGAGCTCCTACCCCCTCGCCGCCGGCCGCGGCGCCCCCCGTGCTCCCTGCCGTGCTCGGCTGCTTGGCCGAAGCGAAGGCATGTGAGGATAGCGGGAGGCGCTGGGCACGCCCTGCAGGCCACGCGTAGCGCGTCGGTGGAGATCGAATCCTTTTTCTCCGCGGCCATCGCCGCCCGCGGCAACGTCGGCAGGCCAGGCTTGGGTGAATCCTCCTTGACGCCGTGACACCGGCGCTCGCTCTCAACCCACCACTACTTGTATCGCCCCGCGTCGCCCTTCCCGTCGCCCTTCCATCTACAGGGGGTCGCTCGTTCGGGCCCACATTCCTCCCGTCGAAACCCCCTCCCGATTTCGTCCACTGCGCCATGACATTTTGAGAGCGGTGGTCGGTCAGGTGCCACCTCCGTCTCGAACTCCGACCTCTGCTCGCGCGCCCGCTGTGTGAGCAGCTACACGTCGTATTCTCCCTCGAAATCGTCGCAAACGCGTGCGCCATCGTTCGAACCGTCGGTTTTGTCGTCGTCACGGGATGATTGGACGAGCGAGAGATCTTAACGACGCACCGAGCGCGCCACAAGCTTCGAGGAGGACCCCGTCCTCGTCGGCCTGCGCCACGAGCACTCGATCGGCCTCCGGCCCTTCGCGGCCTTCGACGTCCCCGAGCACGTCCGCGTCAGCCTTGGCGAGCGGCCAAGCCGCGACGTCGTCGACGTCGCGCCGCGGTTCGCCAACGACACATGCGGTCGCCGTCGCGGGCTCAGCCTCACACCGCGCGGCCGGGGATCTCGCTATCGAAATTGCAAAGATCGAAATCAACCAAAGCGCGCAAACCCCCGCGCAGGCCAAACATGAAGAACATGTTGAAGATCATCATCGCTCTCCTCCTCGGCGCCACGGGATCGGCGGCTCTACCGATCCCCACGCCCGCCAAGACCGCAGCGGAGCGCGCACCGGGCACTGCCGTAATGGAACGCCTGAATCGCCGCTTTCACCAAGGCGGTGCGGGAATACTGATACACCAATTTGATTACAAAGATGGACCCAATCCTCATGCGTTGTGGTGGCAGCAATGCCGCAGCACCGGTCTCCATGTCACTATTCTGCATCTCTCGTCAATGGTCAGATGCAGTTTCATCCCGGAAGAATTCCGATTTACAGCGACTTTCAAGCTGGCTTTGTCTTGCGTGCAGACGTTCCCGTTCTTTGTGCATATCCTCGTGACGTGGGCAGCCAAAAACGTGAGTGTAACCTCGCCAGCAAAGCGTGCATTCCTGGCTGTGTGAACACTCGGACCAAGATGGTTCTTTGGTGCAATGGAACGTACAAGTCGCCATGCGCGTTTCGTCCGGATGACATTCACACCATGTTGAACGAGAAAGCTTCGATTGTGCAAGCGTCAAATACGTCGTACTGGACAAATGAGGTTGTGATCGGCTCTGCTGACATACACAAGATGATTGAAGCCGTTTTCTTCATTTCCCGCCCAGGGCACGTGGGTCATACTTCACCTGAAGATGACTGCGATAAACCTGACCACAATCAGGATTGGATGACACCGCGGTGCGAAAGATTCGCTAGAGCTGCCCATCACTCTCTGGTGCAGTACATCAAAGTGAGAAACATTTCCGAGTCGCTTCCCGCGCTAGCATCGTTCGATGCTGAAGATTGGGCGCAGCCTTTCCGCGTAGTCCTTTCTTAGTTAGCAAGCTGATTTTTGAGTTTGCGAAAACGTCAGCTCGTGGCAGCGCGGTGGGATGCCCGCTGCAGTCGACAGCTCCCCGGACCCATCTGCTGCCCAGAGCCAGGCAGAGTACTACTGGAGTTTTAACGGGGAAAGGAGAGGAGTGGGGAAAGGGCGCCGCGGCCTAGCCCTTCATGTTGCCGACGGCGCCCTGGACGAGGTCGCCGATGGCGCCCTCGGACGTCTTGGGGAGCTTGAAGTAGCGGCCCATCGCGGCGTCGGCGATGTCCTTGGCGAGGCCCGTGGAGACGAACTTGTTCTCCGTGTCGAGCATGAGGAGGGAGAAGCCCGGGATGGATCCCAGCTGCTTCGCCGTGTCGATGAGCTCGTCCTTGAGCGCCGCGCGGTCGGGCTTCGTGCCCGGCTCGGGCGCCTCGTCGGTGCCGAGCGACACGGACAGCGGCACGTTCGCGCGGCCGTCGCCGATGCAGACGACGACGACCTTGCCGACGTCGCCCGACTTTTGCGCGTTCATGCCCGTGCGCGCGGCGACGGAGAGCGCGTGCGCGAGCGGCGAGCCGCCGCCGCACGCCATCGTCTCGAGCCGCTTCTTCGTCAACGCGATGGACCGCGTGGGCGGCACGAGCACGTCGGCCCGGTCGCCCTGGAAGGGGATGAGCGAAATCTGGTCCCGCGACTGGTAGGCCTCCGTGAGCAGGCTCAGCGCCGCGCCCTTGGCCGCCTGCATGCGGTTCAGCGCCATGGACCCGGACGCGTCGACGACGAAGATGATGAGGGAGCCGGCCTTGCGGGCCATGCGCTTCGTGCGCACGTCGCTCTCCTCGATGAAGACCGAGCGCCCCATGGTCTTCTTCGTCGGGTTCGCCGTCGCGCGCTCGCGCCGCGGCTTCTGGTACGGCGCGGCCGCGCGCATCGTCGCGTCGACCGCCAAACGGCGCACCTTGCCCCGGGGCAGCTGCGCCTTGATGTAGCGGCCCCGGTCCTCGGAGAAGACGAGGCCCCGGCCCCCGGACTTGCCCTGCTTCTGCTTCGTCGCGAAGGCCAGCAGCTCGGGGTCGATGGGCACGCCCTCCGCGTCGAACATGAACTCGTCGGGCAGCTCGGGCTCCTCGGGCTCGGGCTCGGCCACATCCTCCTGGTCCTCCTGGTCCTCCGGGGGCTCCTGGTTCTCGCGGTCCTCGAGGTCCTCGTCGAGCTCCTCGTCCATCTGGTCCGACGGCGGCGGCGGCGGCGGCGGCGGCGGCGGCATGTCGAGGTCCGGCGGCTGCTCCGGGTCGGAGACGAAGGAGCTGCGGGGCACGATGGCCAGCTTGACGGCGAGCTTCAGGTCCTCGCTGTCCACGCGGTCGCGGCCCGCGAGCGCCGCGGACGCGCGCGCGACCTCCGACGCGTAAATGTCCGCGCGGTGGCCCTGGACGCCCGCGCGCACGGCCTCCTCGCACAGATAGACGAGCTGGTCCCGGGAGATGGTCACGTCCTTGATCTCCTCGCGCGCGAAGACGATGCGGGACCGGAGCGCGTCCGACGCCTCCAGGTCCTCGTCGAGCGCCGCCGCGCGGCTCGCGCCGCCCGCGGCGAACTTGAGCACCGAATCCACGGCGTCGGCGCGCTGGCTCACGTCCAGCGGCGCCGCGTCGGCCGACAGCGCCACCGCGATGCGGTCCAGGAGGTGGTCGCGCATCTCGCCCTCCTCGGGGTTGAACGTCGCGATCAGGAGCGGCTTGCAGACGTAGGTCACGGAGATGCCCTCGCGCTCGACGATGACCTTGCCGTCGGAGATGACCTGGAGCAGGATGTTCGTCGCCTCCGAATCCAGGAGGTTGATGTCGTCGACGTAGAGCACGCCGCGGTGCGCGCGCGCGAGCAGGCCGGGCTGGAAGACGGACTTGCCCTCCTTGACGCTCTGCTCGACGTCGATGCTCCCTAAGAGCATGTCGTCCATGACGTTGAGCGGGATCTGCACGAAGGGCGCGCGCACGACCTCCGTCTCGAGCGCCAGCAGGTTCTCGGCGACGCTCCCGCCCTGGTCCTCGAGCTGCTTCCGGAGCAGGCTGTCCATCTCCGTGGGCATCTCCGGGTCCACGTTGTACTGCGAGTCCTTGACCTTCTCGATGGGCGGCAGGAGCGAGTGGAGCGCGCGCGCCATGACGCTCTTGGCCGTGCCGCGGCCGCCGCTGATGAGCACGCCGCCCATGTCGCGGTTCACGGCCGCGAGGAGCAGCGCCGTCTTGATCGACTCCTGGCCCACGACCATGGACAGCGGCAGGCCGTCCGTGGCCTGGTCGCCGGCGACGGACGCCGTCTTGGGGCCGCCGTCCATCTTCGCCTCCATGGCCGCGAGGCGCTCCTCCGGCGACAGCGTCGCCGCCGACGGCGCGACGCGCGAGAAGGCGCGCGTTCGGTGCGGGAAGGCGTGGTACGACGTCGCCACCGACAGGCACGACGCCGCGAGGAGCGCGCGCATCATGTCGACCGTCGCGCGCGGCTAGTTGCACGAGACGAGACGGCGAAGCTGAGTACTCAGCTCGGAGACAATCTCGAGCTTCAATGCGGCGGGTGTGGGTGCAAACGATCCACGTCCTCCTCGATGCATCGCCGACATCTTGAACGACGTTGCCCCTCTTATTTCACGATGGTGACTCCATTCGAGCCTCGTAAAGCCCAATGACCACCTAGGACCATGGCCTGGGGTGCCACCGGGCACTTCACATTGGTCGCCCTCGCCGCGGGCTGCCTGCCGGCGCCGACGCCGCCGTCGCCGCGCTTCCTCCTGCACCGGCATCTGGTCACGGAGGCCTTTGTGGTGCACCGCTTCGGCGCCCACGACGCGTCGCGCTACCTGAGCCTGCTGCGCGTGCCCGACGCCTGGGCCACGCGACCGGACGAGCACTGGCTCTTCCTCAAGAACGGGTCCTGGCCCAACGCCGCGCTCCGGAGCTCCCTCCTCGCCTTCGCGGGCTGCGGTCCGACCTTAAAGACGCGGACCGGCGGCTCCTGCGTCCGCGGCGGCGTCGAGGTCCTGCGCGGCGCGCGCGAGGCGCACAACGCCGCCCTGCGCTTCGACGCCGGGCCCGTGCTCTGGGGCCTCGCGGGCCTCACGTCGCCCGCGCACCCCGCGGCGGAGCTCCTGCTCGCCCGGTCCGCGCCGCTCAACGGCAGCCTCGCATCCGACGCGGCGACCTACCCGCGCCTCGGCTACCGCGCCGAGGGCTGCGTCGAGCGCCGCGCGGGCAAGGACGGCTGCGAGTACGACGGGCGGCTGAGCCTCGCGGCGAGCGGCGGGCGCGCGTTTCTCTACGCGCGCGCGAACACGAACCCGCGCGGCGGCGGCCGCCACGTGCAGGTCGCGCGGCTCCGCCGGGGCGCCTGGTCCCCCTTCGCGCCCGTGAAGTTCGCCAAGGGCGCGGCGCCGCCCTACGACGTCCTCGGCGACGGCCGGCGGTCCACGGAGAGCGCGGACATCTACTACGCGGCCGTCGACGCGAACCCCGCCGACGAGTCCACGCTTTTGGGCCTCTTCCCGACGGTCGTCGCCGAAGCCGGCCGCGACGGCGCCGCGATCCTCGCCGCGGTCTCCTGCGACGGCGCGCACTTCTCGCCGCCGGAGCCGCTCCTCAACAGCTCGCACGTCGGCGGCGAGATCGTCGACCACGTCGTCGACGGCCTCGCGCGCGACGGCGACGACGTGTTGATATTTGTCCACGCGGGCGTGCCGGGCACGGCCGAGAAGGCCTGCGCGTACAAGGCGCTCTTCCCGAAGCCCGGCGTGAAGTCCGTGAAGCGCGCCGCGCCGACGGGCTGGCGGCCGCCGCCGTCGGAGGTCGTCGGGCTCCGCGTCCCCCTGGCGAACCTTCGGCGCTTCACGGACCGGGCGCGGGCCCACCTCCCGGGCTGCCGCGGCGGATAGGTGTGTTTTAAGGCGCGCCGCTACAGCTGGCGCTTGTAGAGCTTCTTCTTGCGCTCGTCGTAGTCGCGGGTGCAGAAGAAGACGGGCGCGCGCTTGCCCTTGGGCCCCGCGGCCTTGGCGGGGCCGTCGCTGTCGTGGACGACGACGGCCCCCCGGACGTACTCGAGGGGCGTCGAGTGGATGGACCGCGCGAGGACGAGCTCGTCCTTGGCGTCGACGTCGGCGCCGAGCTTCTTGTCGAGGTCCGACTTCTTGTAGAACCACCGGAAGGCCATGACGGGCGTGTTGTCGTCGCTGTCGACGTAGATCTCGACGCAGAGCACGGTGTAGCGCGCGTTCGGGTTGCCCGGCTCGCAGATCTGGGGCGCGAGCGTCTCCGCGCCCGTCTTGCCCCGCCTGAGGTCCCAGGACGCGCCGCCCCAGGACGCGCGCGCGCGGTCGTAGAAGCGCCGCGCCGCGCGGTCCGCGAGCGGTAACAACACGCTCTCGCGCACGGCGCGCTCGCCGGCCCAGTCGTCGCAGACGACGACCCGCGCGCCGTCGTCGTCGTCCTCCTCGCTCGATTCCGAGTCCGAGGCGTCGTCGTCGACGCCGTGCTCGGCCTCGAAGGCGCCGACGGACGAGTCGTCGTCGCCGTAGTAGGTGCGCCGCGCGTAGAGCGCCGCGAGCAGGTCGCCCGTCACGGACCGCCGCAGCGGCGCGTCGTCGCCGCAGCGCTGCTTCGCGACGTGATTGACGTCGCCGCCGTGAGCTTCTAAAAGCGCCTCGCACTCGCCGCGGCCCGGCCGCGCGCCGCTCTGCACGCCGACGGCGCGCCGCTCCAGGGCGCTCCGCGCGCGGCTCACGTCCATCTTCGCCGCGAAGAGCGCCTCCAGAGCCAAAGCGTCCGGCGGCGAGCAATCGACGACGACGCGCGGCGCGTCGCCCGACTCCGGCGGCGGCAGCAGGCTCCAGGCGCCGGGGCTCGCGGGGCAGGCCGGCGACCCCAGGGCCAACCGCGGCGGCGGCGACCGGGGCGGCGGCGACGGCGGCGCCGCGCCCGTGCCGACGTCGCACGACCCGCGCGGCGGGCTCGGCGCCGACGGCGCGCGCGGCCGCCCCGCGGGCGACAGCGGCGGCGGCGCCGCGGCGCGCAGCGCCGCCAGCACGCCGCCGGGCGACGCCGGCGGGCTCGGCGGTAGAGGCAGGGCCGGCACGAGCGCCCGGAGCCTCGCGAGGTCGTCCGCCGCGTCGGCGCTCGGCGCCCACGCGGCCGCGTAGAGCAGGTCCGGCTCCGGCGCGTAGTTCTCCGGCGCGCAGGGCGGCAGCGCGGCGCGGTCCAGCGGCTCGAAGCGCCGGTCCGCGCCGGACGTGCAGCCCATGGACGCGCGGCGCGTCTTGCCGTCTTTGGGAGACGGCGCGCGGCCCCACTGCGGCGCGCGCGCGACGGCCGTCGGGTCGTAGCGGCTCACGACGCCCTTGGCGCGGCCGGACCGCGTCGTGCCGCCGCCGCTCGACGCGTCGTCGTCGGCCTTGCGCTTGCTCCCGGACGCCTTGGCCGCGGCGGCCGGCCGCCGCGCGAGGCTGGACGGGCTCGCGGGGCACCGCCTGGGGGCTGGCGATGCGGGCCGGTCCGCGGCGCCCTGCCCCGGGCTACCGGCCGACGGGTTCCGCTCGCAGGACTTGACGTGCTTCTTGCGCGACATGGGGTGCTGGAACGACTCACCGCAGTGTGGGCAGTCGCCGCTCCACGGCGCGCGCTTCCGCGGCGGCTCCTTACTCTTCGATCCCTCGCCCACGGCGGGTGCCGATCGCTTAGTAGGCTTGGCCGGGGACGGCATGGACATCGAGGGGGCGCGACTCGTCTCCCGGGACACGTTAATTCATCGCGCACCGCATCGTCCCACCGCTGAGTTCACCCTTTTGAACCTGAAACCGCCGGGGGTTTGCGCGCTTCACGCCTCCCGACGCCCTCAACTCAAGGACACGTCGCAGCCTCGATGGGTCGGCTTTCATGCGCAGTGTATGGGCTGGGGTGTCGGTTCACGACGCTTGGCGGGTTTTCAATCCGCGCGACGCGGCGCGAAGAGGCCGCGCGCCTTCTGGCAGCACTACGAGCGACGCCGACATATATAGGAAGCTTACAAGCGCCCCGGAATACTGGCGGCTTCCGTCGTCGCGATGCCTGCGCGGGAGTGGCGCGGTCCGGGCGCCGCGGACGAACGCGCGCGCGGTCGAGGGCGCGATCGAGTGGACGTCTCAGTAGAGAATTGGGTTCAAGATTTTCAGCAACGGCGAACCTTTGGAAAGACTAATCGGTATATATCACCGACGTCCTCTACACACGTGTGGGTCCTCCGCCGGACGCGGGCGCACGCCGTCCTCGCGGCGAGCGTCGCGTCGCCGCACCTACGCCCCCGCGACACGCACGGGCGGCGATCGTCGTCCCCGGTGCCGTGTCCACACACGCGCTCATCTGGCCTCTCTGCGCTCTCAACGGGCGGCGATCGTCGCCTCCACGGGGCCTGGGCAGCGATCACCACCGAGCTTCGAGAAGCTGTGCGCTCTCAGGGGCCTCTCGCGGCAGCCCTGCCGCGTCGCGCGTCGCTTGTGGCTGCGCGGCGAGTGTGGGAGGGTCAGCGACGACCGAGGCGCGTCGTGGCGGATGTTGCTCACGCGCGGCGAGCGACGGCAGCCAGTCCTTGTGCGATCGCCAAGGCTGCGGCAGCTCCGGCGGCTCGCGCGCCGCCGCCGCCGGACAGCGACGCCGTCGCCGACGAGGTGCGCAGAACACGAGGTTACGCCGCCTGGACGTCGAGGACGCGGTCCCCGAGGCGCTGGCTCAGGCGCCGCATCGTCGCGAAGGCGGACACGTGGACGGACCGCGCGGCGATGACGAAGCCGACGACCGCGAGCGCGCGCCCGCGCTTCGCGTCGTGCGTCTCCGCGGCGACCCAGAGCCCCAGCAGCAGCGCCGGGTGCGCCGCGCGCTGCCAGTCGACGCCCGCGCGGTGGAGCGCGTAGGCCACGTAGAGCTCCGTCGCCGCGTAGAGGAGGAAGACGAGGAGCCCGATCGCGGCGGCGCCGAGCGTGAGCACCTCGCGCAACGCCCCGAAGCGCGCGGGCCGGTAGGGGTGGATGTCGACCCGCAGCCAGCGATACAAGCGCCAGCGCTGCGCGGGCGACGTGCCGGCGAGGCCCGCGCCCCCCAGCAGGAACGCGAGCGTCAGGAGGCCCGCCGCGGCCAGGGAAACGGCCCCCCTTTCGCTCTGCAAAAAGGCCGCGACGCGCGTGCGCTGGATGCGGTAGGCGTACTTGCACTGGTCGCAGCGGAACTGGGCCCGCGCGTCCGGCGCCGCCGCGCGCCACGCGTTCAAGCAGGACACGTGGACGTGCCGCATGGACCCGGAGCAGAGGCACGGCGAGATGAGCGGGTCGTCGCGGCTCGCCTCCTCGGAGAAGCAGATGCGGCACATGGGCGGGCCGTGGTCCTCGGCGGGCTGCGGCGGGCGCGCGACGTGCGGCGCGTTCTCCCGCGTCGGCCGCGGCCTCGCGGGTTCGGCCTCGGGCTTCGGCGGCGCGAGGAACAGCACGCTCTCCGCGTCGCAGCACGCGCCGACCTCCGCGTCCCCGTCCAGGATCGTCCCGTCCTTGACGACGCGGCACTCGCGCCAGCGCCGCGACGGCACGGCCGCGAGCGACGCGAGCTCCGCGGCCGCGCGCCGCGCGACGTCGGAGACGAGGTCGTCTCCTAAACACTCGACGAGCGCCTCGCCGTCGCTCGGCCGCGTCGTCCGCACGACGAACGCATGGCTCGGCCGGCGCCGCAGGGCGAGGCGCGCCGACGGCCAGAGGCCGGACGCCTGGAGCGTCGTCTCTCTGAAGGCGGCGACCGGCAGCGGCGCCTCGGGGTACTCCGTGGCGTCGTTGAGGGTCCAGCCGCCGGCGAAGCAGTCGCCGAAGCCTTCGGCGGCGAGGTAGCGCACGACGACGTCGCCGACCTCGTCCGGCGCGAAGCGCCGCCGCCGCTGGTGCGTCGTGTTGCGCGCGCTGTGGATGTCGATGGTCAGCGTCGCGCCCTCCGCCGGCTCGGCCGGGAGGGCGGCCATACGGTTTGCGGGTGTGGAGGGTGGGTCGGACGCGCCGGTTCGTTGCGCGCAGGGCCGCCGAGCTCGATCAGCTCAGGCGCTGTAAGACGACACAGGCCATAGCCCAGTCGACCAGGCCGACGATGCACCTCGACACGATGGCTGATTGAGCTGCCCATATGCGCAGCCCCGTGCTCGCCCTGCTGGCCGCCGCGCACCCGTCGGTCGGCGACTACGTCGGGCGGACCGTCGGCGTCTACGACTCCATCGAGCAGGTCGCCGAGGAGTTCGGCGAGGCGCCGCCGCCGACGGCCGTGCGCGCCGCGAACCGGCGCCGCGCCGCGGACCTCGGCTTCGCCGGCGTGCAGAACGTGCAGATCGACCCGCCGACCTTGGACGCCGAGGAGGAGTTCGCGCGGCCGCTGGCGGCGCACCTGCGCTGCGACGCGTGCCACGCGTTCGCGCACCAGACCAAAAAGCGGCTCTTCGAGGCGACGGACGGACGGGAACGGGCGCTCGACGCGGCGGCCCGCATCGACTTCTTCGCCGCGCTCTGCCGCGAGGCCCTCGACGACTACGGCGTCAAGGAGATCGCCGACGCCAAGGGCTGGAAAAGGAACCGGCTCTCCGGGCCCGGCACCGAGGCCGACTACGTCACGGCGATGATGACCGGCGGCGGGCCCTGGCCCGGCCGCCTGCGGCAGCGCTGCGGCGAGATCGTCGGCGACGTCGGCGAGGACGCGCTCTACGCCATGTGGCTCCGCGACGGCAAGGAGCTCACGAACACGGTCTGCGTCGACGCGACGGGTGACTGCGACGTCCGCGTCGACCCGCCCAAGGTCAAGGTCACGGCGCCCCGGGGCGGCGCCTTCGAGCGGAAATTCCGCAAACCCCCGAAGAAGAAGAAGAAAAGGGACGAGGCCGAGCTGTGACTAAGGAGCGTCGGTTGGCGGGGAGGGGTGGAGAGGCGACGCGTACGGGGGTGCACCGGGTCTCGGTGCGGTCTCCCGGACGGGGCCGGTAAAGACATCAGCTTGAACCTCGCGCACTTGCAGAAGACGACCTCGAGCTCAATTCTAAGCCGCGTCACGCACGTCGTACCGCGCGCGCGCGCGTGATTGCAAAATGGTGCGCTCGTCGCTGCTGCTCCTCGTCGCCGCGCGGTGCGCATTGGCGCGCGTGCGTCTCTCCGGAGTTCAAGGACCCCGTTTGCGCTTGGGCGACGTTATTGGCGGATTCCGAGCGAGCGGTGGGCTTTCATCGGCGGAGATCGCCGCAGCTGCCGAGACCGCCGCCGGGCCCACCGCAGCTACGAAGGCCGCCGGCGTGGTCGACGACGTCACGTCGGAGGACTACGAGATGACGATCACCTTCGCGCGGCCGGGCGAGGAGCCGCGGGACGTGCGCGTCACGCGCGGCACGCTGCTCCAGCTGCTGGACCAGGGCCGCCTGCGGCGGCTGGAGGACGGCACGTTCACCACCCCCGAGGAGCCCGCGGCGGCCGCGCCGGCGCCGGCCGCCGAGGAGCCGCGCGTCGACGCCGCGCCCGTCGAAGTCGCGTATTTCGTCGCGCTCCTCGAAGCGGCGTTGCAGTCGGCCGCGGAGGAGGCCACGGCGTCGACCGGCGACGAGGAGGCGGCGGTGGAAGCGGCGTTCCTCGAGGCCGAGGCCGCGGCCGCGAAGGCCGCCGAAGAGGCGGCCACGGCCGCGAAGGCCGCCGCGGACGCGGCGGCCGCCGCGAAGGCCGCCGAGGAGGCGTTCATCGAGGCCGAGGCCGAGGCCGCGGCGCGCGTCGAGGCCGAGGCCGCGAAGACCGCCGAGGCTGCGGCGCGCGTCGAGGCCAAGGCCGCGGCCGCGAAGGCCGCCGGCGAGGCGGCGGCGGCCGCGAAGGCCGCCGAGGAGGCCGCGCGCGTCGAGCGCGTCGAGGCCGCGGCCGCGAAGGCCGCCGAGCAGCAGGCCGCGCGCATCGAGGCCGCGGCCGCGCGCGTCGAGGCCGAGGCCGCCGCCGAGGCCGCGGCCGCCGCCGAGGCCGCGGCCGATGCCGCCGCCGAGGCCGCGGCCGCCGCCGAGTTCGAGGCGGTTATCGACGAGGACTACATCGACCTCGACGAGATCCCGGAGGAGCCCGCGTTCGCGACGCCGCTGGAGGAGATCCGCGCGTTCGAGCCCGTCCCCGCTTCCCCCGTCGACGCGCAAACCGTCCAGCAGCGCGTGCCGGAGATGTTCGCCGACGGCTACGGCGACATTCTCGTGGCGCGCTTCGCGCGCAAGTTCGGCGCTGAGGTCGCGGAGGCCGAGAACGTCCGGCGGGCCTACGAGCAGTTCCTCGTGATCAAGGCCGTCGGCGGCGACTTCGACGGCACGTTTTACTCCCCGCCGCCGCTCGTCGACGAGATGTGGCTCCTCCACGTCATGGACACGACCCACTACGGCCGCCAGTGCGAGCGCGCCTTCGGCCGCGTCGTCCACCGACCCGGGCGGTGCATCGACGACCCGGACGGCACCGCGGACCCGGCGACGCGCTTCCGGCGCATCGGCGCGACGCACCTCGCGCTCACGTACCGCTTCGGCGCGAAATTCGACCAGCGCATCTGGCACTGGCACAAGTAAGAGCGACCTCGCTCTAAAAAAGGGGGCGCCTTAGTGGAGGAGCGCGCGCGCGGCCTCGGCGAGCTCCGCCGCGGCCGGGGACACGTCGCCGCCCTTGCGGCCGTTGAGGTCCGCGCCGCCGTCGCGGGACCAGTCGCCCGTCTCGCGGTAGCCGCTCGGCAGCAGGCTCGCGCGGCCGAAGATGTCGGCGAGGTCGCAGGTCGTCCCGCCCGCGGCGGCGGCGCCGCCCGGCGACGCGTGCTTGAGCAGGTCCTCCGGCGGCGGCGCCGCGGCCTGGAGGCGCACCGCGTCCGCCAGGTCGTCGACGCGCGCCCAGTCCGGCACGGGCTTCGACGGCAGCAGCGGCGACGGGTCCTCCGACGAGCCCGACGACGAGCTCCGCGCCGCGGCGTCCGGCGGCGGTACGCCCGCGCCGGCGGCGCTCTGCGACTCGCGCGGCGGCGGCGGGCACGGCGGCGGCAGCGCGACCAGCTCCTCGAAGGTGAGCAGCGACACGTCCTCCGGCGCCGCGAAGACGGACCGCTGGGGCGCGCAGTCGAAGAGCCGCTTGCCGAGGCGCGTGCCGTCGCCGCCGAGCTCGTGGGCAGTGACGAGCTCGACGCCCAGGAGCGCGCCGCCCGCGACCTCCAGGACGCAGCGGACCTTGGCCGCGGCGCGCGCGGCGCCGACGGGCACCCAGACCATCTTGTCGACGAGGAGCGGCGCGACGGACGCCGCGTCGAGGGGCTTGTCTTCCTCCTCCTCTTCCCAGCACCGATTGTTGAGCGCCGCGACCCAGCTGCCGTCCGCGCGCGCGAACGACCCGCCCTCGAGGAGGTGCGACAGGCGGCTCGCGGACGACCAGCGGCTGCCACCGCTCAGCTTCGGCGCCGTCAGGCCGCTGCACTCGCTCATGGACGACCGGTTCTCCTTTTCGTCGTTTTCGCTCGCGGCGCGCGGCGCGAGCGACGCGCGCGACGACAGCTCCATGGGCGCCGGCGCGGGCGGCGCGGCGAGCGACGCCCGCGAACTCAGCTCCATGGGCTCCGCCTTGACGGGCGTCGACCCCAGCGACAGCCGCTGCTTCTCGCGCTTCAACCGCTCCGACGCGTCGTTCCGCACGCGCGCGCTCCGCGACCCGGGCGACTCGGGGAGCTGGAGCGTCGGCGGCGTGCAGAAGGATTCGCGGAGCGGGCCCGCGCGGAAGGCCAGGGGCTCCTTCGAGTTGGGGGACACGCGCAGGCGCTGGCGCTCCCGCGACATGCGGCTGCTCAGTTCTGACCGGGGATTCGCCGAGCGCGGCGGCGTGCGCGGCGGTAGCTTTTGGGGGGTGTTCTTGGGTGACTCTGGAGCCATCATGGAGGACGTGTGGTGGGTCGTGACGGACGACGCGTGCCAGGAACTTGTCCAACGGCGGCGACGCGGCGTGTCGAGCTGCCTCTGAGCTCGGCTCGACGCGCCTCGCTCCACATCGTCGCGCGCCGCTGCCACACGGCGTGCCCGGACGCGGACGTCCATCGGCGTCGTGGTCGAGGTCTGCTCGAGCATCTCGACACCACCGGTCGAGCGCGCGCAAACCAAACCCCGACAAAACCATGCCCCGCGGCAGCAAGTGCCTGCGGGCCCTGCGCGCGCACATGATCGCGACGCCGAGCGCGCCGCCGGAGATCGTCGACGGCGAGGTCGTCACGGCCTCCGGTAAATTCGCCTGCGACGCGCCGACGGGCTACCGGAGCTCGCGGTCCGGCGCGGGCGTCTACTCGCTCGAGGCCGTCGTGCTCCTCCTCCGGACGGCCAAGTCGTCGGACTACCTCAAGGCGTGCCTCGCGAAGAAGCTCCAGAACGTCGTGCTCGGCGACCAGGGCGACCTCAAGGCCTACCTCACGGGCGCGGCCGCGGACAGCGCGCAGCTCGAGGACGACGACGCCGACGACGACGTCGCGGCGCCGTCGTCGGACGAGCCGGCGAAAACCGACGCGCCCGCGGCCGACGCCGCCGCCGCGGCGGGCGTCGGCTACGACGGCATCCCCATCTACGACCGCAACCACGGCCTCCTGGTCCCGGGCAAGGACTACACGTTCGCCGTCGAGCTCTACGAGCGCTTCGTCAAAAAGGAGCGCAAGGAGCGCCAGGAGAAGCACGACGAGAAGGTCCGCGAGAAGGAGCAGGCCGAGAAGGACATCGCCGCGGGCAAGGACCCGAAGAAGCGCAAGCGCGACGAGCAGCGCGCGAAGGACAAGGCCGCGGCCGCGGAAGCGGCGAAGAAGAAGCGGCGCGCGGAAGCCGCGGCCAAGGCCGAGGGCGAGCCGAAGCGCGAGAGCGTGGGCATCATCATCGTGCCCGCGGCCATGACGTCTACCGTGACGCTCCTCAACGTCGCGGATCTGCTGGAGAAGGGCAAGTTCGCGACCGTCGCCGAGAAACGAGCGGCGGGCGCGAAGAAGGAGCCCATGGTCCGCATCGAGCGCGTCGCCGGCGACGGCACGATCCAGTCCTACAAGATCGTCGACAACCCCCAGCGCCTCAGCGACGCGGACTGGAAGCGCGTCGTCGCCGTCTTCGCGGCGGGCGCGGCGTGGCAATTCAAGGGCTGGAAGTACGCGAAGCCCGTCGACATCTTCAACCGCGTGCTCGGCGTGCACCTCAAGTACGACGACGCCGAGACGGTCCCCGAGGTGAAGAAGTGGAACGTGACCGTGCTCACGGTCAACAAGTTCAAGCGCCACCTCGACCCGACGACCGTCGTCCAGTTCTGGCGCCTCCTCGACGACTTCCTCGAGAAGCGCAAGAAGGCCATCGCGGGCATGAAGGCGCGCAAGAAGTAAGCGTTGCGCGCTTATGTGCAGGGGGGCGCGGCGGGGGGCTATGATGGGGTGTGTACAAAACGCGCTTCACTCGCCGAGGAGGAGCGGGTCGTCGTCGTGGACGAAGTGGGAGCCGCCGCCGCATCGCCAGCCGCCGCCCTCCCGGTGCCAGGAGAAGCCCGCGGGGCAGGGGCCGAGGTCGCGGAGGCGCTGGAGGATGTCCGCCTCCGTGAGCGCGTCGTCGTCGCGGTCCGCGTCGTCGTCGTCGTCGTCGTCGGCCTTGGTCCGCAGCGCGATGTCGTAGGTCACCTGGGCCTGGAGCGCGCGGGACACGCCGCCCGCCTGGGTCGCCAGCGCCGCCGCGACGGCCTCCGCGTCGCCGCCGCGCGACGCGACGACGTACGACACGAGGTCCCCCGGGACCGCGCCGCCCGCGGCGACGGCCGCGAGCATTTTGGCCAGGTCCGCCCGCTTGTCGTCGGCATCGTAGCCCAGCGCCACGAGGGCCTCCTCGAGGGCGCCGTCGAGGTCGCCCGCGAGGTCGTCGGGGTCCGGCGATTCGCCGCCGGGCGCTTCGACCCTTTCCACCTCCGTCGCGACGTCGATGGCCGGCGGCGATATAACCGCGTCGGCCGTGAGGAAGGGGGACGGTGTCATCACCTCCTCGACGACCGGCGCGCTCCGCGTCTTCATGTTGAGCGAGAAGGCCGCGGCCGCCGTTAAAGCTTCGACCGTGACGTCCGTGGTCTCGCGCGTCGCGCACTCCACCGCCACCCGCCGCACGAAGTTCTCGACGTCGCGGCCGTTGGCCCAGTCCGGCGCGTCCACCAAGGGCTGGAGCGCCGCCTCGAGCTGGGACCGCTTCGGCAGGCCCAGCCGCTTCGTTTCGAGCATCAATTCCGCGACGTCCGCGGCGTCCGCCGCGTCAAAGTCCGGGAAGGACACGACGTCGGACACGCGGCTCTTGAGGCCCGGGTTCACCTTGTCCAGAAGCGTGTCCATCTGACCGGAATACCCCGCGAAGATGACGACCATCTTGCCCTTGTAGTCCTCCTCGGTCAGCAGCGTCACGATCTCGTCGACGGCCTCCTGCATGTAGGAGCGGCCCGTCGGGTCGTACAACCGATAGGCCTCGTCGACGAACAGCACCGCCCCCCGCGCCGAGTCGAAGACGTCGCGCGTCTTCTTCGCGGCCTGCCCCACAAAGCCCGTCGCGAGGTCCGACGCCGAGACCTGGACGACGTCCGCGGACGGCAGCACGCCCAGCGCCTCGAAGAGCATGCCCATGCGCCGCGCCACCGTCGTCTTGCCCGTGCCCGGCGACCCCTGGAAGCAGAAGGTCATGCCCAGGTCGTCGAGCGCGTCGCGGCCGCTCAAACGCGCGGCGTCGATGACCTTCTCGTACTCCGCGAGGCGGCTCTTGATGAACTCGCAGCCCACCAAACCTTCAAACACCAAGCTCTTGTCGGCGACGTGCGGCGCGGGCACGTAGAGGTCGTCGAGGATCAGCTCCGTCATCGCCGCGCGCTCCGCGGGGGGCACGTCTTTCAGCCGCGCCTCGGACCGACTCACGGCCTCGGACACCAAATTCCCGACGGCGCCCGCGTTGCCGAAATTGGGCCGCAGGCGCTGCTTCGCCAGCTTCAAACGCACGGCCGCCTTGGCGTCCGCGAAGGAGATCGTGCGCCCGCGCCGCTTCACCGCGGCGAGCAGTATCTTCAAAAGGGCCTGGTCGTCGTAGTCGTCGAAGCGGAACGCGTTCTCCAGCTGGAAGCGGCGCGCCAGGCCCGGGTTCCCGCGCCGCAGGAACTGGGTCATCTCCTTGTCGTAGCCCAGCAGGAGCACGCAGAGGTCCGCGCCCGCGTCGCCTCCCACCCGAGAGACGATCGCGTCGATGACGGACGACTTGTAGGGGTCGCCGTTGCCGCTCAGGCCGTCGCCGTGGCCGCCGTTGGGGTCCAACCCATAAGCCTCGTCGATGACGAGGACGCAGCCCTTGGCCCGGTCCAGCAGGGCCTGCGTCTTCTCCTCGGACTGGCCGAGCGCGGAGCCGACGAAATCCGGCGGCGTCGCCAACACGACGTCGCCCACGGACAGCAGCCCGATCTCCGCCAAGATCTTCCCGTAGAGGCCCGCCACCGTCGTCTTGCCCGTGCCCGGGTTGCCCAGGAAGACGCGGTTCAGCGCGACGTGCTGCAAGGGGAGCTCCAGCTCTTCGCGTTCGACGTTCGACGCGTGCAGCTCCAGCAGCTCGTCCACCGACGACTTGACGCTCCACAGGCCCTCCATGGCCCGCAGCGCCCGCAGCGGCTCCGATTCCGAGTGGTCCAGCGTCCGGTTGCCCAGCAGGTCCTCGCGCTCGAAGAGGAAGATGTCCGGCTCCTCGCCTCTCTTCCGCGCCGCGACGACGCGCGCGGACTGCTTCTCCGACGCGCTCTCCAGCAGCTGCGCCGCCGCGCGCGCGTTGCCGAAGCCCGGCGTGCCCCGGCCCTTGCCCAGGCGCCGCGCGGCGATCCTCAGATGCTTGTCGTCGGCGACGGCATATTTCGGGAACCGCTCGTCGAAGCGTCTTCTCGTGATCTCCACGAGCTCGTCGTCGCTAAAGTCCTCGAAGGCGACGTCGCGGCGGAAGCGACTCCGCAGCCCCGGCGACGACGCGAGCATCTGCTCCATGTCCTTGTCGTAGCCGCAGAGCACGACGGCGAGCGTCCCCGGGAACGCGTCCATCTCGGCCACCAACTTCTGGAGCACGCGCTTGCCCACGGGCGACCCCGAGGGGTCGAGCTGGTAGGCGTCGTCCACGAGGAGCGTGCCGCCGTCCTGGCGCGGGTCGCGGAGCTGGTGGCGCGGCGCCTTGATCTCGACGAACTCCGCGCCGTCCGCGTTGAGGCCGCGGACGTCGTAGGTGCCCGTCTTCGGGTCGCAGTAGACGACCGTGCCGGAGTGGCCCCAGGCGCCGGACCGCTTCACCTCGACGGCGTCGCCGACCTCCACGGTCGACGTCTGCGGATCCTTGAACTTCTTCATGAGCTTGTCGACGCCGTCGACGCCGTCGTCGAGGAGGCCGCCGCCCGTGACCTCGACGACCTTGCCCAACGGCGTCGCGCCGATCTCGCCGAGGAGCGACGCGTAGAGCTTGGACGCGACGGTCTTGCCCGTGCCCGGGTTGCCCCGGAAGACCGCGGAGAAGGACCGCTCGCTGAGGTCGTCGCCGCGCTCGACGTCGAGGGACACGGCGTCGACCAAGCCCCGGCAGAGCTCCTTGAGGGGCGCCAGGCCCACGAGCTCGTCGAGCGCCGTCAGCGACGCCGGGTCCTCGCGCTCCTCGACCAAGGGCGAGCTCTTCCGGCCGCCGAAGAGCCCCGTCTTCTCCGGCGCCGCCGCCTCCTCGTCGTCCTCGTCGACGACGACGGCGTCCGGGAGCCGCGCCTCCGCGCGGCGCGCGGACGCGGCCGCGACCCGCGCGAGCGGCGGCGCGGCGGCGGCCGCCGCGAGCGCGTGGCCGTAGGCCAGCGGCGCGTCCTCGAAGCCCCGCACGAAGGACTGGGCCAGATCCACGAAAGGCTCGAGCAGCTCGCTGTCCCGGGGGCAGCCGCAGGCGTAGTTCAGACCCTCGAGCTCGCCGAGCGACGCGTCGAGTTTCGAGTAGTCGCCGCCCTCGAGCTCCGCCTCGCAGATGGACGCTAGAATGCCCGTGGCCGTCGTCCACTCGTGCTCGCACTTCTGCCGCTCGAGGTAGCCCGCGCAGACGTCGTGCGCCGCGAGCCACTCCTCGCCCGCCATGAGGTCCAGGCACGCCTCGAATTCGAACTGCGCGGGCACGGCGTTCGCGAGCGAAGGCGCGGGCTCCTCGGCGTGCGTGCGGTCCACGACGCGGGTCACGAGCTCCTCGTGCCCGACAATCGGCATCAAACCCTGCACGAGCTGCGTGCAGGAGCCGTAGGCTTTCAAAGCGACGTCCAATTCTTCAAAGTCGTTCTCCAACAGGTGGACGCGCAGGTCCGCGCCCGCGGGCTCCGCCGCGTCGGCGTCGACGCGGTGGTGCCGGAGCTTGGGCAGGCGCAGGGCCAGGCCGTCGGCCACCGAAGCGCATAGCGCCACGGCCAGCAGGCGGCGCATCCTACCGCGCTCCCTTTTCTTCTGTTTGCTGCCGTGCACGAGCACGGAAATTTGTGGCAAAGGCCGACGTACGCCGTCGCGTGCGCTCGATGCCACGCGCCGCCGCAGCGCTCGGCCTCGCGGCTGCCGCTGCTAGGCGCCGCCGCCGTCGCCGCGTACCTCCGGAGACACCGGACTTCGCCGCTCGACGCGCGCATCGACGCCGTGCTGGCCTTCTGGTTCGGCGATGGCACGAAGAGCATCGACGTGCTGCAGCGGTCGCTCTGGTTCGCGCGGGGCAGCGCGCGCGACGCCGCGGACCGCGCCGTCGCCGCGGCCTTCGGCGCCGGTCTCGTCCGCGCGGCGATCGCCGGCGACCTCGACGGCTGGGCCGCGACGCCGCGCGGCGCGGTCGCATTGATCGTCGTCCTCGACCAGTTCGCGCGCCACGTCTTCCGCGGCGGCGACGGCGCGGCGGTGGAGGAAGCGTCGCGCAAGGCGCGCGCCGTCGCCGACCGCTGCTTCGGCGCCGCGGGCGTTTGGGACGCCGCGCGGTGTTTGTCGCCCGCGCAGCACGTCTTCGCGTTGATGCCCGTTCGCCACGGCGCGGCCGAGTTACCACCGAAGGACGAAGCGGCGGCCCTGCGCTCGCTCCTGGACGTCGTCGACGCGCGCGCCGCCAGCGACGACTTGGAGAAGAGGGCCCTGGACCGCTTCCGCGCGGCGACGGCGAAGCGGCTCCGCGAGGCGACGGCGCCGGCGGCCGCGGCCGTCGCGGACGCGTTCGGCGCGTTCGACGACGACGCCATCCTGGAGCGGCCCTTCGTGCCCTGCGCGCCGGCGGCCTTGAAGGCGGCCCTCGTGGACAGCGCCGTCGGCGCGTGCCTCGCGCGGTTCGTGCTCGACGAGTGCGCGCGGCGGGGCTACCGCGCGCGCGTGCTCGACGCCGGGGGGATCCTCGCGCTTCGACCGTCGGGGCAAGACCGTGCCGCTCTGCGTCG